AAAATTAAGCCAATTTAAATTCGATTATTATTTCTCTTGATTTTTGCGACTCTTCTCCATATTCTTAATTAAACATAATAAACAACAAATATAGTTTAAACTTTCACTGAGCTCTGTACCTTATATCCTCTTCTATCTTCAATCATCTCTTTCCCCTGTCCATCTGTCGTAAGTATCTCAACATTTTTGGAAAGCCCCGAAACGTCTGGCAATTGTATAGCAGCTGTCTGCCTGTCTGCCTGCCCACAGCCTTCGACTGACCGAAGCGAGCGACTGACTGGGCTTTTGTCTAATTGCAAATTGTATGAGTTTTGGCACCAAAAACACATGAATATTCATAAATAATAACTCAAATCAACTCGAAGTCCGATTGGATATGTTCCCAAATAGGAATAAGCTGCTCAGCGGTGAAAGTGGGTCATCGAAAAATAGATTGCATGAATGTTTTGAATGATTTGAATGTTGTTTTTTGGTATTATTATGAGTACTCATTTGCACTCATTCGCTGATCTCCTGTTTCTAAATATAAAACGCGTGCCTCACTCGAAAACTAAATTTATCGAAACATATTTAGCCCCTAACAAAAAAAAAAAAAAAATTACCAAAACAAATTAAAAATTTGTTCATAATTTTCCACCCAAAAGACGTAGAAACAATTTTCGCACTGAGATTGACAGCAGCTGGTGTGTGGGGAAAATGCCTAATCAGCTGTGGGAAAATCTGAAGGAAAATAATTGCAGAAAAGAGAGCAGGAAAGGCAAAGAGAAAGAGAGAGAAAAGGCAGAACAGAACAGAATAGAGCTAAGACTCGTGTGCCGCAGAGGGAAACAAGACCTAAATTGGTCAAAGTCAGCGCAGGGGGTCTTTTCTATATCTACATATCTACATATGCTGTGTGTGGTTATACCCTGGCTTTTTTTTTTTTGTAGAGATGGTCGAAAGGTTGGGTTTTGGTACCTAGTAAAAATGTGATTTATTTTTTAAACCTTTTTGGATAAACAATGTCGGTATATCTAATATTATCTAATAATATATAATCTAGTAATCTGTAAATAAATCTCATTAAAAGGTATCCCAAAGTCTCAAACACTCCCTCCTAGTATTTCTTTCTTTCTTTCTGTTTCGCTACTTTTTCAAGAGGACGTCAGTAAACAATTAAAAGCCAAATCTTAATCGATCGATGGAATACGACTCACTCTCCTACCCACTCTCCGACTCACTCCTGCTCCTCCTTCTCTCTCTCTATCTCTCTGTCTCAACTGTTCGCGCGTGAGGAATGACGTGAAAAGCGCCGCGTGAGAATAGCGAAAAATAATTACAAATATAATCAGCATCATCGTGTGTACTCGTGTTTACACATGATTTTTCACGTCCAAGTTCATAAAATTCTGTGGCGCTTAATCAGCTTTTCCCGCTTTAGATGCTCACGTAGCAATGAGCATATCCCGTCGATTGTTTTGTTGTTTTGTATCTATTTATAGGGTTTTTTCTTTTGTAGTCTCTGTTAAGGTATATTTTGGGCACTACCTCAGCTCTACACTGCCCCTTGGCATTGCCATTGTGGCAGGCTGTTGATGACGTTCAAGATCTCACCCAAAAATAGCCAAAACAATGATTGGCAAAACTACAAATAATTGGGTGAAATTGGCTGAATCAAAAAATAGATTCCGTTGCATCTTTTTGTTTTTTTTGGTTTTTTCTTTCTCTGTATTTCTCTCTGTTGATGGATTTTGTATATTGCATTTTGCTGCTCTTTTGCTCTACTGAGAGAAAATTCAATGAAGTCCATTTTAATGGTTTTATTTATGAGGCGTGTGAGGCATGGGGCAAGGCGAAGAACGCTTTTCATTTTCACATTTCTCATTTGAATATTTATGACGCTGTCTGACTGACTGGCTGTGCCTATCTCTCTCTCTCTCTCTGTCGGCCACAAAAAGTTAATCCCACTAAATGCCGTTGATAGTTTATATTACGATTTGTTGTCGAGAGAAGGCAGAGATTTTTGTGGAGCGATGGCTGGTAAGGGAGGTGGAATTAAGAAAGGAATTATTGGAGCATTTTCTTAATTTTAGAATTGTGACAAATGCACAATATCTGCAATATCGTTGCATCTGCCCTCCCCAATTCTTCTTTCATTTTCATTCTAAATTTTATTTTATGATTGATTTTGCTTTATTTTTTTTGCTCTTTGGTTTGTAGTTTTTGGCTGTAGACAGAATTTTGGGGTGTTTGCTTAGGTATTAGGAGGGGCCATAGTCATTGGTTTATAAGGAGAATTGAGCAATATGATGGTTTAATGTGGGATTTAATTTTTTTTTATATAGAAAGTCTGTATATTTTGTAGAGTGTCCATCTAGTTCAGGGAAGACACGAATTCAGATTCATAATCCAATGAAAAACTTTGAGAAAGAGATTTTTGTATAGGAAAATTTGGATTAGAAGTCATAGAACTAGTTTTAAAAAGTTTTTAGATACAGTAAAAATTTACATAAAATCATATATGTATACCAAATCTCCTATAGATATTCTACCGATTTCCCATAGATCTCTCCATAGAAGTCTTTGCTTGCCCACTTTTTCCCTTCCCACAAAAGTATTTCCCTCCACATGAGTTGCAAATTTTTCTAACATTGTTAGTTTCGCCATATCATTTGTCATGGACGTCACAGATCGATGGACTTTACAGATAGCCGATAACAGATATTATGGGAACATGGGAACATAAAGATAAAAGATAACCCCCAAAGGCAGCGTCACAGTTTTGCTCCCGCTCTTGTGCGTCAATCAAGCATAATCTACACCGATATTTCTTGGATATATACGAGTAGAGTAGATGTCACATGGCTAAATATAGTCGACTAGGAAATGTCTGTCTGTTTGTCTGTGTGGATAGATATCTAGCGAGAGAGAGAGAGAGAGAGTGGGATATATATCTCCCGGTTTTTTTTGATTAAAATATCGACAAACGGGGGGGCCTGGCAACCCGGCAGTCCGGAATCGGGCCAAAATGAACTAATTTCCAATATCCGAAGTATTCTGAGGGCTGCCCTGCTGCTAATGAGCAGATTCTTTGCTTTGTGTGTGCGTGTGTGTGTGTGTGTGTGTGGAAATCCATGACACACTTCCGTGCCACATAAAGTTGCATCATTAATTTTTCAGTTCTCAAGAGAAGAGAAGTTTTCCTTCCATGCCTATTCGTATCTTTTCGGGCTAATGACACGAAACTATCTCTGGGCTGTGACAATGGGACGAAATGAAACAAATTCGTGTCGTGTTTACGCCTGCCAGATTGCCATTAATTTTTATATATATTTCTATAGATATATAGACATACATTCTCTCTATAGGCAGACAGACATTCCTGGGTTTTGGATCTTGTAATTTTTAATGTTTGCAGTCTTGTCTGAAAAGAAGAAAGAAGTGTGTCACACACGAAAAGTATCTGAAAAAGTTTTTATTGATTTAGTGCCCCATTTCCCTGTGCTCTCCACTCTCATCGCTTTTTTTTCTCTGGCTAATTATTTATAGAACGTTTTTCCTAATCCCATCCACCCATGATGAACCCCACAAAAATTGCAATCCTATATTTAGGAACAAAACTACTAGAACATCGACCTATAGATAGATTTTGTTTATTTCTTTCAATCGTGATCTCTCTCTCTCTTTCTCTCTCTCTCTCTGTATTTTGGATTTTTCCGTGTGGGTTTTTTGTTTAGCGACGTCATAGTTTTTTTTTCTCAATTCTCATGAACTTGACGTCGTCTTTGGCGGAATAATTAGTGGAAAGTATTTTGGGGATGTTTTTGTTGTTTTTTGTTGTTGTTGCTTTTGTGCCAATAATCAACCCAAACAGCTAATATTCGTTACGTGAAATGTTATAAATAGATTTTAAGTAACTAAATTTAGACATAGATACACACAGATACAGGAGAAAATATACACGAAAGATAGACGTGAAATATTTGTACTATAAACGATTTTCTTGTGATTTCTTCTATATAGTTTTTTATCCCATGGTTAAGCCAAACAAATTGTTAGAAAAAATGTCGTATTTTTTTGGGGATAGATATATACATACAAGAGATATACCCCCTTAAATACACGCCTGAGTTTCATGTGTTTTGGTTTCGGATTTTTTTGTTTTTGTTTTTTTTTTTTTGGTCGGTTCTTGTCATTTTTCATCCGTCGTCTACGAGTGTCAGGAGGCAGGTCTCCGTCTCCAGTCTACCATTTGGGGCCACATAAATCCCTTCAAATGCCATGACATGTAAATATTTTCCAAGTCTTTAAAGCCAACGAGAATACTCTTGAGTGGAGAGCACAGAGCACAGAGACAGCGACAGAGGCAGAAAGCGAAGCGCTTTATAAAATATAATTTCATTCTATAAGAAAAATGCAAAGTGACAACATAATTCGCCAGTTTATCATAATCAAAATACGCCTACATATTGTTCATTCGCCATTCCTTTAGTTTTGCGTTGTTGTTGTGCTGCAGAATCGTCGTGTGGCATGCAAACACTTTACAGGCACACGCTGCAACAACAACAGCAACAACTTGCAACAACTACACTTTCAACAATGACACAGACGAGTGTCAGGCCGGCCACAAGTTGTCTGTGTGGCGAAAATAACTTCAAATAGTTTTTTTTTAAGATTCTTTTCCTACTGCTTCCAGGTTTGCTGTTTCTTTTTCGTTTCCATTTGAAACATGAAATTTCTCTTTTGCCAAAGTGACATTTTTGCATGCTCAAAATTTATACAGCAACCCAAAAAAAAAATAGGGTATTTGTAATCTAATAGAAAATGTGGAATGCAAAGTAAACTGTACTTAGTATGGGGTACAAATTACGCCTGGTCAAAGGCAACAATTTCCTTCAGAAAACAATGCCAACAAAATAATGGAACAATTTCTCTGTATTTATTGAATAAAGGAAAAGAATCCGAAAACAAGAACTTGAATACTTTTCTTATAATTATACTTTTTTTTCTTATTGTTTTAGCTCTGCTACGAATGAAAATAGGTAACAGAAAAACAGGGAATAACTAAGAGAGATGCCCATAGATAAGGTATTTATTTATGTTTTTGTTTTTTTAAATAAAAATAGGAAACTAAAAATATTATTATGAAAGTTTATATAGATAAAATAGATTTCTCCTTCATGGCTTAAAGAGGCTCTATAGAGTATCCCTCGCCTCGAGACTCTAACCATAAGTCACCTGCGTTTGCTAGATGATTTCTACATTTCCTTGATCATTTTCTGGTACACTCTAATGCCTGTTCTAATGTCTGATAATCTCACGGCAAATTAATGTTGAACACGAAGTGGAAAAGTCTTAAAAACTGCAAACAGCATGAATCATTGTGGATGTTGTTGTTCTTAATTAACAGTGAATGCAGTCAAATAGTGTGTGTGTTGCATGCAGCACCTATCCATGTTGAGTGCAGAGTGTGGCACAGACAGACAGACAGACAGACAGGCGATATATAAAATGTGTCTGAAGAGGCATTCACTTCTCATTCCATTCCATTCCCCATTCAAGAGTTTCCAGACCCCCAAAGCAAAAAAAAAAAAACTTTTTCATGAAATGTCAGAGACTTAATAATTTGTAATTTTTATATTTTATTTTTAAGAGCTGAGTCTTGAAAAACGGGTCAAGTAAGAAAATGAAAGAAGATACAAAAAGCGATAAATGCCACAAACCAAATTTGGTCAAAAGTAGGCATCCCAAATTTTGTTTAAGCTTTTGGAATGCACTTTAAAAAAGGGTATGCAGACTTAAAGAAAAGGTTTGCAATAAAGAAAGGCAAGTAACTTTAGATGGGAGATGGAAAAGGAAGGTAAGAGCCATCGAAATGGGTTTATTTTGTAGCTAAAATTGCTTTATTTTGGCACCTGTTTTCTTAATACTTTGCATCTTTAAGAGCATCTACAACTTCGATTTTCTATACTCGCTTTTTGTGCGGCCTCAACGTGCGATCATTTCTTTGGTTTTTGGTTGAGTTCCCTTTTGGCCTTTTGGTCTTGTGACCAATTTTGGGCAAACTTTTGTGATTTGTGCTTAATTGCGGTTTTGCGCTTCTCTCTCTCTTTCTTGACGGCGCACACACACCATTTATGGTAGCATTTGCGTCGAGAGCCACACGAAAAACAAGTTAATACAAAGTTTCTCATGGCTGCGGGCTGCTGGCTGCTGGCTTAATCATCGCCAGAGATATACTCATGCGATACGGGGCGCTAGAAGCCACGTCAGGTGCTTCAAATATTCTGAGACCTGACTATTTTTATAAAAACATTTCACCATTGAAAAACGGGTCTACGAAGCAGCTTCTGGAGTTGAAATTTTGTAGGCAGAGCGCTAAAAAAGATCTTTCGGGCAGAAAATTGTCTTGTGTGTTTTTTTTATTTTATATTTTGGTTAAAAGAATAAACGAAAATCACTTAACATTGAAATAAATTATTAAAAAATTTATTACGATCTATAAATAATTTTTCTTCAAATAATATTATGTTGGAAAAATATAATTTTCGATCTAAAAATTGCCATAACAGTTTAAACAGTCCCTATTTTAAGAGGACTACTATTTGTATAGTAAAAACATTTTTAATGAAATTTCTCTGCTTTGTTTTCTAGTAACAAAATAATTTTTAAAATAATAATTACTATTTTTCTGTTTAAAGTCTTCAATAGCATCTTGATGGCATCTTACATTCTTCACCTTTGTTACCCCTTTTGGGAATAATAAACATTTCTTACGCCATTTTCCTGCATGAAAAACCCTTTTGCACTCCCTCCAGCCAACAGGGAACTATTTTTAGCGGTCTAGTGTCAACTGTACAGTAATCTAAATGAAAATTTATTGCTTGTCGCGCAACTTTGTCGCCGCTCAAACTACGTCAACGGCAAAGCCGGTTGGAGTGGGGGAAGAAATGCGCGGGGAGGAAAGCACCCAAACCCCCAAAAACATGAGACAGCTTTAAAATGTCCACCTGTTGTTGTATAAAAAACGAAACGAAACGAACGAAACTTTCCAGCAGTCAAGGACATTGCTGAGGTGGAGATGGGACTTGCTTTCGTCATAGGAAAACTTCCGCATATGCAGGCAGACAAACACACACACACACACACACACACGCAGAAGGGACACAGGCACAAATACAGAGGCAACGCAGGCGCCCTACAAAGTATGCTATAAATTCGGTGGCGGTTTTTTTCATTCATAAAAACATCTACGACAGCAAGCAAAAACAAAAAATGAAGGGAGAGAGCACCCTAGAAGGAAGAGAGTGAGAAAAGGTTGCAGAATTTTGCAGGAGAATAATGCCGGTATCATTTAGCTCTATCGATTTTCGGGCATAACCAGAGAGGGTGAGCGATATATATAGAAATATTTAGGCATAGAAAGAGAGATCCAAAAAGAGAGATGTACCAAGAGAGATATAGAAAGAGAAATGTAGAAAGAGCGTTGAAAAAATATATAGATATAAATTGCTAAAAAGCTTTTCTCTCCTTGACTTTGAACTCTGGAGGCTACCTATACAGACAAGTTGACAAGTTTGTCATTACAAATCAGGGACAAAGTCGGTGATAGTACGAGCTGTAATAATAGAAAGTTCTATGCGGCATTAGAGAACGAGAAATATGAATGAAAAGCTTGCTCTTACAGCCTTTTGAGCTGAAGAGATTATAGTTTTATAGGTTCAAGAAATCTTCCGGTTGGATTTCCGTCACTTTGTTTAATTCGCGGGGAAAGTCCGCAATAATAAAATTACTCTAAAAATTCTCACCAGTTTGTTTCACTCAGAGTAAAAGTCAGAGACGATGAGAGGGTTCTTTTTGTGATTTCCATTTTAATTCTTCATTTAAGAATAAAGATTCAGTAATAATAGTAATTTTGAATCGGTTTCTCAGCGCTTCATTCCTCTTCGTCTGATGTACAGAAATAATCCCAATGCTAGGTAGGGGAATCATTTCATTACTGTGTTTCATTTGCTTACCGGCTGGCTGACAAGAGGGATAAAAATGCAAAATAAAAACAAAAACCGAAACCGGTAAACATTTATCATATTTTTTTTTTGCACGTAGCCGTCGCACAGTCGCTCAACGACCAACCAACCAACGATCTGTGGATCTGTGCAGCTCCTGGGGAAGGGGTGGAAGGCCTTGCCATAAGAAGGCGTTCAAAATTAAAAGTCGCTCAAAAGCAACAACAGCAACAACAACAAATGCATTGCGCAAATGCGAAATGATATTAAAATGAAAACTTTGCCAAGTAATAAACTGATAAAGAGGCGACGGACGGCTCTGCGTCGTCGTCTGTCTGTTTGTCTGTCTGGTCGTCTGTCGCTGACTCTGGGATCTGTGGCTGTTGTGGCTCTGACATATCGCAAGAAGGTAACTTATTAAACAACATGGCGCTGGCTTTTGATACACTTACCAAAAAGAGATACACACCCCAGGAATGGGATTGTTTGGGTATTCGAAAATGATAAAATTCATAGTGAAAAACCCATGCGAGGGGGGTAACTATTCAAAGGGAAATTTGCTGAAATAAGTTTAACCTTTTAATGTTAGAAAATCTTTATTTTGGAACCACCTAGAGATGCAATCGAATGTGCATACGTGCTGTAAAATGGAAAACTATTAAGTAACTAAGGTTTAAAACGATGGAAAAACATTCTCATCCGCTTTAAATTTTTTACCAATATCCTAGCATAAAATTATCTTGGGCATACAATTTTAATTTAATTAATTCCATCTAATTTCAATGGCCAATTTTGTACATTTCCTTTTACCTGATGCGCCTTTCATCTTCAGTCTGTCGAGCTGCCTTGCAGGACATTCTCACTTCGACTTGTGGAAAGATGGTCTTATCCTTTCTTGTTATAAATACTCACACACACTCACTCACGCATTCACACATTGAGTATCCAGTTTTTGTGTGTTGTTGCTTTGTCGACTGCCTCGTTGCAGGCAGATAAATGTAAATTATTATGTCGTAAATTTGTTGACTGCCATGTTTTGTGGCGCTGCAGCCTCACACAAACACACTCACACACTCGACATATGGCCCAAAACCAGCCCAAAAAGAAAAGAAAAAAAAAGACCCCCAACAATACGTCCTTGCGGCAGACATCGTTGGGTCTCTGTCCCCGTCCCTCACCGTCTCTCACCATTCATATTGCAAATTAAAACCTCGAAAATGCGTTAATAAAATGCCTTGATTGAGTCGCCGTTTGCATAATGCCAGATAAAAAATAATAAAAAGCAAAAAAAAATAAAAAATGTTTGCATATAAGAAAATATTTTTGAGCCATGGGCGAACCGGATGCCACAGAGAGATAGAGGCAGGCAGGCAGGCAGCAGCCAGGCAACATGTTGTTGATTTATTTGTGGCGGCACACGACCAGACACGACAATGACATCTACGCATCGGTAGATGCAGCAGAACGAAAGAGAATGCCAGCCCGACAATGGAGATACCTGCAGCTATGGCACTTGGAACAGATGGACCCCAAATGGAATATACCCTGGCAGCCACACTTTGTGGCAGGTATTAAAAGTGCAAGTTGCAGAGCAGCCACACTTAGCAGCCCCAAAGAATACGTGGGCCAAAATGGCGACGAGGCGTTCCACACACACACTGACAGAAAGAGAGAGAGAGCGAAAGATTGAAGCGTGCCACAAACGCCTCCATATGGTATCCACTGCTGCTGCTGCTGCTGCTGCTGTGCCTCTGGCGTGTGCCAAAAGGTTTTTTGTTTTGTGTGTAGACCGCCCTTGAACTGGGTCTCAGAATGTGGGGGTAAATGCCTGTGGAATGACCGACATTGGCAGATCTTGGCAGGTGGGTGGATGTGCCGGCCGGCCGGCCGGCCTGCCGGTCTCTCTCCCTCTCTCTCTCTATCTTTGGTCTGACCAGCCTCTCTCTTGGTTGTGTGTGTGGGAAAAGCAAACACAACCCCCGCAAAAATACAATCACGAGACGAGACCAGACATTACGTCGACATCCCCCAACGTATTGTACGTAGACACTTGTCGATGCCAAGAGCACGCAGAATTTT